AAGGCCTCGATAAGGCATTATTTTAACCATAAGTCCTCGAGAAGGCGGGTCCAAATTCATAAAATCTCAAAAGAGGTAATACCGGCCTCATCATCGACTTCACTAATGGCGAAGTATACTCGAACTTGTAAGACCTTAAGAAAAAGGCGTAAAATCGATACAAAACCTGAAGGTCAAATTGTGCCCGAGTCCGAACCCACTCACTCGGGGACTGCTTCGAAGAAACCTAAGGGTTAGACTTCACCCGAGCTCGAACCCACTCACTCGGGGACTGCTTCGAAGAAACCTAAGGGTTAGACTTCACCCGAGCTCGAATCAACTCACTCGGGGACTGCCTTGAGAAAACCCAAAGGTCGAAGTTCACCTGAGTTCGAATACATTCACTCGGAGACTATTTCGAAAAATATAAAGGACTACCATCGTTCCAAAAAGATAAAAGGCAAAGTAATAACAAGATTGAAAAAGGAGCAATAAATGGCAAAGGGCAGTGTTGCATAAAAAAGCTCGCTACCGGAGCAATTACATAAGAGGGGAAAAACAAAACAAAGCCTAGCCTATTCCCGGAGTCAATCGGAGCCATCCTCGAATTCTTCGGGGAACGTCGCCCTTCTCGAAGCGTCCTCAGCTTCGGCGGCTTTGGCGACGTCCGATGCAAGATCGAAACCGCGACGTTGGAGTTCAGTAAGAACTTCAAGCCGGGCCTGACACTTCGCATATTCGGCTAACATTCTTGACTGCTGGTTGGCCGCATCAGCATCGGCCCTATATTGGGCCACCATATCGTTGGCAGTCTCCTCGGCCTGAGAAACTTTAGCCTCAGCTTCCCGAAATCGATTGGTCCATAGCTCAATTTCAAGGACTCGAGCCTCATTGGCCAACGTCAAGTCCGCAACCTCTTCCCGAAGGGAAGTCTTCTCCGACTCCAACTGTTGCACCCGGGCTTCCAGTTCGGCTTTGTTCTCATTAAGTTCGGCTCTGCTCTCGTCAAGCTCGGCCTTAACCCGATTAAGCTCGGCTTGCACCCCCCTTAGCTTACAACCGAGCTCTTTCTTTGCTTCCTCCAGCCGGATAGCACAGGACGCGTGCTCTTTATTCAAAAGGTCCAATCCGGTCCGGCTTTCTAGCAGCTTCTCTTCAAGGACCCGGCGCCCCTCTCGCTCCGCCTCCATCTTGTCCTTGATTCGGAGGAACATCGAGTGATATAGCACCGATGCCTGCAAAGGAAAAGTCTAAAGAGTCAGTACTGGGTCACAAGGCAAAAATATTAGAAATAAAGGAAGAAGCAAATACCTTGAGCTGCGCCTGCTGGGCTTCGTTGAAAAGGCATGTCCAATCTACAGCCTCGGTCGCAGCCCGGTCTTCCTCCGTCATCAGATGATGAAGATAGCTTGCAACCCCGACCGGGGGTCCCAGAGCCCGGACGTCTTTGGGGATAGCAAAAGTTACTATCCTGTTACAGTCCGGGTCCAGGCTCGGAGCTGGAAACCTATCAACAAGCTTGTTGATGGCCGAAGTCCCACTTGATTCGGCCTGAAGGTCTTTCCGGGGGATTTCGAGCCCGAAAGTGTTGGCGGAGGGTACCCCATCAAAAAAGGTCTCGAAGCTACCTCCCATCATCGGGATGTCGTCCGGCAGCTGCCCCCAAGTCGAGGAAGACGGGGGGGACGTAACCGGGTGATCGGTACCCGGGGACGCCCGCGCAGGGGCCGAGGGTTCACTAGCATCCTCAACCCTCACGTCCTCGGGAGGAGCCTCAGCTGGATCGACCACCGGCTCAGGGTCCGGTCGAATGGATCGATGGCGGACGAGCTCCGGCTGCTCCTCATCGTCATCCTCTTTGTCGTCCTCCTCCTCGGAGGACAAGACGATTTGGCTTTTTAGTTTGCGGGCGGCCCTTTTTGTCCGCTTAATCTTCCTTTGAGGCTCGTCCGTACCGGACTCCCCGGGCCTTTTATTTTCTCCCGGAACCGGAAGGGGGCATAGTATTGAAGACCTCATCTCCGCGTCCTTGGGCAAGCCTGCAAAACACGAGGGTTATGATGCATTCCCGATATACAGGAAAAAATGCGCTACCGGTCAAAAAGAAGGCTTACCATGGTTTTTCGCCTCCCACCGACCTTTGGAGATTTCCTTCCAGTTTCGCTCCGAATATGGCCGCTGGGCCACTATCTTGTTTACCCAGCCGGCCAGATCCTTGACGGCAGCTGGAGTTTGGGTCACCGCTGCACAAGAAAAGGGGGTTTCAGGAAGAAGTTGAGGAAAACACGCTCTAAAAGATGAACAGTGAGAAAATACTTACGTTTGAGGTTCCACCTCTCCGGAAATGGCATGCAATCGGCCGGAATCAGGTCGGACGTCCTGATCCGGACAAACCTGCTCATCCAGCCTCGATCTTTGTCTTCATCGATGCTGGAGAATGGGGGTTTGCTAGCCCGGCGGGCCAGTTTTATTAATCCCCCTCGAAATATTCGGGGGCTGTATAGTCGAAGAAGATGGTCGAGGGTAAAGGGGAAATCGCCCTCGACTCTCTCAACAAAAAACCGAAAGAGATATACGATCCGCCACATCGAGGGGTGGATCTGACCTAAGGTCACCTCGTACCGCCGGCAGAACTCCACTATGATGGGTTCTAAGGGGCCTAAGGTGAAGGGATATGTATATACACTAAGATATCCTTCAACGTGAGTCATAATCGATTCGTCACGGGAAGGGGCGACCAGGTCTTTCCCTTCCCATCTACATTCAGCCCTCACCCGGTCTAGGCAACCGGGAGTGATTAGACTAATATACTCCGATGCCGGTTCGCCGCGGCCCGGGACCGATGATGGGTTTTCAACCTGGAAGTCGGCAGATACCGAGCAACCAGTCGGTGTGAATGCTTTCAATGGGGGTTCTGGTGCATGTTCATCAGATCTAGCGGGGCTCGCGGCCGAGCTTGGTCTAGAAGGAACACTTTGTGAAGTTTTCGCCATTTCTTAAAGCTTTACGAAGAGATGAAAAGAAAATACAACCAACGCAGAATTTGAGAAAGATAGGAAATGTTGAACCTGGAAGGGTCGTTTATACTTTTTCCATGAGGCGGTGGCACGAATCGCGAAGCCACAGACACGAAGCGACAGATAATTAAGAGAAGCATTAAATGCCTGCAGCAGGCGTGGTCAGAGCACTCGATGGCTTTTTCACCTGGCGTATGGCCATACGTCACGGGCATCACGTCACCGGTCATATCGTTTATTATCATTACTCTCTAATAAACGAGGGGACTATCTGTATTGGGTGATACCCTTTTTTGCTTGAGCCCGACCGGGTTGGGTCCGGTCCGGAGCGAGTCGGGGCCATCGAACCCGACCTGGATGCAAGGTAGAACGACGGCCACGTCTACAACCGAGGTCGAGTCATTTCGAGACCGTTACAGAGCTCGATATGAGTCACCACCGGATGGAGAAACACACAAGGTCGGAAGCCGGACTCGTAACGGATAACCAAGCGTCGCCGGATATCTCGCCCAAACGTGATTTTCTCAACCACTTCAGGCCATTAAGGCGTAATTACAGGGATCCACGATGTAATCAATTTACCTACCTTATTTTTACCCTTAATCAGAATGTATAAAAGGAGATCTCTCTAAATTTTTGTAGGCATCAAGCACAATTGTTCTAAGCAATATTATATTCTGCGATTATTTACTTTAACAGCAATTGTTGAGTCTTTATCTTTATTTTTCCTCAACCTAAAAACCTTTTGTATCTTTTAGTTCACGGATCCTTAAAACCCCATATAAATTCAATTGTTATCCGGATTCGAGGGTAAACATTATGTTTTCAGCTTAAATACATATTTACATCAGCTTTAAAACATAAATTCTTTAAAATTAAGATTTTACGTTAGGAAAAATTTAGTTGTCTAAGTTTTTGCTCAAACAATATGGTCTTTTTCCCCAAAAGTGAGATAATAGGGAAATAAACGTAAATGCCATAGAATTGAAAAGTACTAGATTAAATACCGAAGAAGTACAAACTTAGATGTAAGTCTACCATATAAACTTTATAACACTTAATAATTAATGTTAGACAAGGGATAATATTCGAGATAAAATTTGGGCTTCTTTTGGTTTACGTTTGGTTAATTTTTCATTTGGTTGATTTTTTTCAAGATTAATAATTTCGAAATTAATTATACCAAAAAATGATATTATTTTTATACCACCTTTATCGAGGGACAACAATTTCGAAATTACTAATTCCACAATAAAACACAAAAAGAACCAAGATACCCTTCTCCGTAGCTTTTCTTCCAAAGTCATTTAAAAATTTAAAAGTTAAGATTTGACATAAAAGTCTATCCAAATTTATCTTAGTGGAAACCAAACATATGTTTTATATTATACATCGTATATTTTATTTTTAGTCCAATAAATTAAATATATACCAATCAAAACATATTAACTAAATAGTCTCGTTGTTCTTTAATTCTCGTATTATTATTCCGAAATAACTTGTTCAGCAGTCAAACAAAAAGTTAAATTATTCAACTTTTAGTAGGCGTTTGGACATAAAATTATTATTATTGAAATAGGTAGTATTTGGAGTTAGGTTGATTTCAAAAGTGCATGTGAGCTTGGATGAATGAAGCTCCCATGGAGTCTTCTAGAATGTCCTGAGAGAATGGAGAGAAGAAGAGAGTGGAGAAGCAGAGATATTTTTCAGAAAATATTATTTCTCTCACTTGATTACCAATAGTACATGATGTGTGTGTGTATATATATATATATATATATATATATATATATATATATATATATATATATATATATATATATACATTGACTAACTCAATTGCTAATCATCTACTTTGACTAGAGCTAACCACTAATACTAAGCTAACTACTAACTGACAATTGTGTTAGATAATAAAGAATGAAAACTAACTATCAATAATAATAATAACTATACTCAATACCCCCCCTCAAGTTGGAAGTGAGGTCTTCACAGCCAACTTGCTTAGGACACCTGAGTGTTTGACCCCTGTGAGGGCCTTTGTGAGAATATCAGCCAACTGATGGTGAGGGGTACATGATATAGAGAGATTAGGCCTTCTTGCAATTTGTTCCTAACAAAATGGCAATCAACTTCAATGTGCTTGGTCCTTTCATGAAACACTGGGTTGTGAGCAATGTGTATAGCAGACTGACTGTCACAAAACACCTGTATAGGACATGACTGGACAACACTGAGTTCAGCAAATAGTCTGCTTAGCCAGACCAATTCTCCAACTACTTTTCTGAGAGATCTATACTCTGCTTCAGCTGAGGATAAGGAGACAGTCTCCTGCTTCTTGGACTTCCAACTAATAGGACTATCTCCCACCAAAACAATGTATCCAGTGACAGACCTCCTAGAGTCTGGGCAGGCTGCCCAATCTGAGTCACAAAATGCCTTAATTGAACAGTCAGGATTATTTGAGAAGAAAACACCTAGAGTAGGCTCCTTCTTTAAGTATCTGAGAAGGTGAAATGCAGCTGTTAAGTGAGTATCTCTTGGTGCTTGCATAAATTGGCTCAGGAGTTGCACACTATAAGCTATATCCAGCCTTGTGTTGGTAAGGAAATTGAGCTTTCCCACTAACTTCATGTAGTATGTAGGGTCTGGCAGTAGGTTTCCTTCTTGTGCTTTCAACTTTATGGCAGGATCAAGGGGTGAAGCAACACTGCTGTAGTCAAAGACCTGATATTCTTTCAACAAATCTAAGGTAAACTTTCTTTGAGAAATGAGAATGTCATCTGGTTTGTATAAGACTTCTAAGCCCAAAAAATAATGAAGTCTGCCTAGGTCCTTTATTTTGAACTTTTGATCTAGGAAGGCCTTCAAGTCTGCAATCTCTGCTGGATCAGTTCCAGTAATTATAACATCATCAACATAGACACCCACAAAAATAATGGAGGAAGGAGTTTTCTTGCAAAACGGGGAATGGTCATTTTCAGAATGTTGGTACCCTCTTGTGGACAATGCTTCAGTCAATTTAGCATACCATTGTCTGCTAGCCTGCTTGAGCCCATAGAGTGACTTATTCAGTCTACACACTACCTTACTTGAACTATGTTGATCCGCTACCAGCCCAAGAGGGGCTTCCATATAGACTTCCTCATGCAAGTCCCCATGGAGGAATACATTGTTTACATCTAGTTGGAATATATCCCATCCCTTCTTAACAACTACTGTAACTACGACTCTAACAGTTGTCATTTTCACCACAGGGGAGAAGGTTTCTGTATAGTCAATCTCAGCCTGTTGAGTGTAACCCTTTACTACTAACCTAGCCTTGAATCTTTCAACACTCCCATCAGCTCTATGTTTGATTTTATATACCCATTTACAACCTATTGCTTGTTTGCCAGCTGGCAAAGGGACTAAATCCAAGTGTGGTTAGCATGAAGGGCCTCAAATTCTTGTGTCATGGCTGCCTACCAAGCAGGATTGAGGGTTGCCTCTTCATATGAAGATGGCTCACTATCATGGCAAACATTTTGTATCAAGTGCTGACTTTCAGCAGATAGAGCATCAGGAGTGATGTAGTGATGATTGGAATATAGGGCCTTTAGTGAAGGAGAAGGATTGGAGAGCTGAGTAGAACTGTTGGATAGCTGGTAAACATAGTCTTTTAAGTAAGCAGGAGTTTGGTGACTTCTGCTTGATTTCCTCGGAAGTGGTGATTCTGTGTGGGTGTGTGTGTCATTAGAAGGTGTTTCAGATTGGTGTTCTGCCTCTGGAGATGTGACACTAGCAGGACTTTGTCCTAAATTCATAGGGAAAACCTGGCTGCTATCTTCAACATAGTTAGGAAAAGAGACTCTTCTAAGAACAGCAGGAACTGAAACATTTTCAGAACTTAGGGAGAATGGAAAAATGTTTTCATGGAAGACTACATCTCTAGAAACGTGAATTCTCTTGGTGACTAGGCTCAGTACCTTGTATCCTTTTGTTCCAAAGGGGTAGCCTACAAAAATCTGAGGAGTGGTTCTTGGTTCAAATTTGTCCCTATGTATTTTGGGTAAAGTGGATAACACAAGCATCCAAAACTTCTCAAGTGGGAATAAAGAGGTTTCTTTTTGTATAACAGCTCAAAAGGGCATCTGTTATTGAGATAGGTGGTAGGCAGCCTATTTATCAAATAAGTGGCTGTTAGGATGCACTCTCCCCAATATTTGGTTGGGAGTTTGGATTGAAACATGAGAGCCCTGGCAGTTTCAAGTAGGTACTTATGTTTTCTCTCTACCACACCATTTTGTTGAGGTATATAGGGGCATGTTTTCTGATGTATGATTCCTTTAGACTGGTAGAATGAAAGAGCTTCATGGCTGGTGAATTCCAGGCCATTATCAGATCTAATAGCCTTTATGGAAGTATTGAATTGATTTTCAATCATAGTCACAAAAGTTTTTAAGGCTTGAAGGGCATTGCTTTTGCAGCTTAACAGGTGTGTTCATGTGGATCTACTGAAGTCATCCACTATTGTAAGAAAATATCTGTAATTATCATGGGTGGTTACATGGTAAGGGCCCCATATATCCATGTGAACCAATTCAAATGATTTGGAGGTAGTGCTGGTTCTTTGGGGGAATGGTAGTCTAGTTTGCCTTGCCATGGGGCATATAGGGCAGATAAAGGGTTGTCTTGGTGCAAATTTTACTGGGATTGAGGATATCCCTCTCATTTTAACAAAAGGAACATGGCCAAGCCTATTATGCCATAGAGAATTTACATCATACTTATCAGACACACAGGAAGACTCATTCTTATTGATTGAAATGGAAGTATTTACAGATTGAGAAGTGTGACATGAATAAGTATGACCTACAGACTCATGACTACTTGGAAATTGAGGAACAGGAATGCAATTGCAATAGGAAGATGAAACAACAGAAGGTAAGACAGTTCCTTTACCCTTCAGATACCTGGAACAGAGGTAATACAGACCTTCTTTGCTACTACCAATCACCTGAGGCCTCTTCACTGAAGGGGCCTGCAACAGACAAAGTGCATTACTGAAAAACACAATACATTTAAGGTGTACTGTAAGGGAATGAACAGAAATCAAGTTGTACTTGAAAGATGGGACATAAAGGACCCTATGTAGAACAATGTCTGAAGAAAGTATCACATCTCCAAATTCAATAACCTTTACTCTATATCCATTTGGTAGACTTATTAATAAAGGATAGGGTAATTTGGTGATATTAGTGAGTGTATGTCTATTAAAGGTCATATGATTGGATGCTCCTGAGTCTATAATCCAAAGATCAGCCTTTGATTCAAAACATTTACATGAAGGTTTGTCAAAATCAATGGAAGAAGTACAGACAACAATACCTGCAAAGTTGGCACTGCCACTTGTGTTATCCATGTTGCTGGGAGAGCCTCCTGCATATCCTATCTGGAAGTGCTGCAGCAATTTCATTATCTGCCCATACTGCTCCTTTGTGAGATTGAGATTCTGATTACCATCTTGTGGTTCTTGTTCATTCCCATTCTCACGAATCATGTCGGCTGGAGTTCCATGCACATTAGCCACAAATCCTTTTCCTTTGTTGAACCTGTAGTTCTGATTGTTCCCTTGGTTATATGGTTGAACATTGGTATTGTTACGATTGAGATTTTGATTATTGTAAGAATTTCCCTGAGGATATCCATGTAACTTGTAGCACTTCTCCTTTGTATGCCCTGGTCTTTTGCAATAATCACAGAATGGGCGACCCTTGTTGTTGTTATTAGGTGTGTAGTGTGTCTTGAAATTTCTAGCTCCAAATGGACTTTGATTCTGTGAACTTGCATTCACATGCAATGAGGTGGAATCCAGGGTTAACTGACTATTAGGCTTGAATTCTCTTTGTTTTTCCTCTTGAATCAGTAACGAGAAAGCTTGTGCCATAGAGGGCAGTGGCATCATCATGAGAATACTTCCTCGCACTATTGTGTAGACCTCGTTCAGTCCCATTAGAAACTGGATGAGCCGTCGATCCTGTTCTGCTTTGTGCATGGTCTCTTTTGCTCCACAAGTGCAATTGCAGGTGCACTGAGATTTGGCACTTAAAGTGTTTAATTCTTCCCATAATTTTTTCATCCGTGTATAATATGTAGTGATGTCTAGGGAACCTTGCGCAAGATCATTGATCTCTTTTTGAATCTGATACAATTTTGCCCCATTCGTCTGGTCATACCGATCCTCTAATTCTCTCTACAGCTCGACTGAGTCATTCACATACTCTACGCTGTCAGATATTTCCTTGGCAAGGGAGTTGAGGATCCACGAAGTCACCATGTCATCATATCTCTCCCATTTACGGAATTGAGGCGAATCAGAACCAGGTTTCCTAAGCTCTCCGGTAATAAATCCCAATTTATTCTTAACCGACAAGGCTCGCAATACGCTTCTTCTCCAGGAGCGATATCCAATTCCGTCGAATGGAACTGGTACCAAAGTCATACCAGGACTATCTGAAGGGTGAATGTAGAGGGGATTACCTGTATCGATGGTCAATTGGTCATTTCTGCTTGAGCTAGGAGTTGTCTCTTCAGGTTGATCGACAGCCATATTCAAAGCTTCGATCTAACGAATCTGACGGATTTTAGCTAGGTTTGAGATCCTCGACTTGTGAGGGGAGCTTTTCCAGATTTGGGCGGCAATTACCAAAACCCTAGAAATTGACGAAACAAGATGAAATTTGGATCGATAGTTGAAAACGCTGAAGGAATGTGAGCTGACGTCCTTGCTCTGATACCATTTCAAAAGTGCATGTGAGCTTGGATGAATGAAGCTCCCATGGAGTCTTCTAGAATGTTCTGAGAGAATGGAGAGAAGAAGAGAGTGGAGAAGCAGAGATATTTTTCAGAAAATATTATTTCTCTCACTTGATTACCAACAGTACATGATGTACATGATGTATATATATACATTGACTAACTCAATTGCTAATCATTTACTTTGACTAGAGCTAACCACTAATACTAAGCTAACTACTAACTGACAATTGTGTTACATAATAAAGAATGAAAACTAACTATCAATGATAATAACTGTACTCAATAGTTGAAAAATGGTATTTGAAATTTGAAATTATGTTTGGACATGCATTTCACTTGAAAAAATAGTTTTGTGAGGGATTTTTTTTTGAAAGTTTTGAAAAAGTGGTCAAAATCACTTTTTGATTTTTGAAAACTTATTTTCGAAAACTTTCAAAAAAAGTTGAAAATACATGGCAAACACATTTTTTTTTTTAATTCGGAAAGAAGAAAGAAAAAAAATTACGGGCAAACGAGTCCTTAATGTAAATAGCAAGCGTAAGTAATTATTTCTTGCTGTTTCACTTAAAAGGATATAAATGGAAGCTCTCTCTTTGAACTGAGATTAGGTAAGAATCCAATAGCCATCTGACAAAAGTAAAAGGAAAGAAGTTTTCGGATTTAACAAAAACGTCAAAACTCCTCGGGCATTGGAAAGATACGGAATAGGGAAGAATCAAAGTCTTAGTCCAAAAGTATTGGCAAAAAGGAAATAAATATTATAGAAAAAGGAATAAAGAAGATCCCAAAACGAAGCAGATCGAAAAGAAAAGCAATAATTGTATCCTTCCCTAGAAATTAGAAAATAATTGCCAATAATTCCAAATATTTTATATTTAACCCCACACTCATAATAACTTTGGCGCCGATATCTTAGCGCCATCCAAGGCCAAGTACCGCCAATTGCGCCCTTTCTTTATATTCTAATTACACAAAATCTCAAAAACTAATTTATTTTTATTTAAATTCCACAAAGAAAAAGTGGTGGTTAATGTCCGGTTTTTCAGTTTTGGTCCCTCTTTAGCTAAACTAACAATAAAAACATATCACCCTAAAATTAAGCTTCCTTTATCATGGCATGCATGGAGGCTTTTTGGATACTTTGGTCGGGTTTAATCTCAACACAAGGAACATCTTTTTGGATTATTTCATTATTGGCTTTGGTTTTTGCTCCTAAGCAAACTTGGAGCTTCAAACCCTATATTTTACAATTGGACTCAGAATTATTTTTCATGATTTCAAATCTTATACTAAGTAGTATTGGTAAATATTTTTCATATTATAAGTTTTCGTTCGATTCGAACTTTTTTTTTCCTAGACTATATCCCTAATCTAATCGAAGATTGAGAAAAATATTGTTTTTTCCTACTAACGCCTAAGAATATTTATTATTCAAAACTACTAGA